AAGTATTTTTCTAAGCTTGATTTGAAGGATGCTAATTTATAGATACCTCTTGACGAATACGCCATTCGGGTTATTTCCTTTAAATTTTTTACCGTTTGGTCTCACTGTATCACCGTCAGTTTCTCAAGATTTTATGGACTCCGGCACTAAGACTCTAGCAAGAATTGCAGTATATCAAGACGATGCTATTTCTCATGCTCCTTCAAAAGCGCTTCACGACGAGCGACTCTGTGCACTTATGGCCAGGTTTTGTGCGTTTAACGTAGCCATAAATCCTTCAAAATGCATGTTCGGTACATTAACATTTCCTTGTCTTGGTTATATCCTAGATGGAAGGGGTTTTTATACGTATCCTACTCGTCTCTGTCAATTATCTAATGCCAACACTTGAAGAAGCTAAGAAGAACTTTGTTCTTTAATGTGTTCTCTGCAATACTATATGATAGTTATTCCTCATTTCGCCGCAAAGGCAGAGCCTTTATTTAAATTACAGTTTGCGAAATCGTTCGTTTGGACCAACATTCATGAAAATACGTCACGTATTTTGCTCGGAGTTCTATCAACGGATGCTGTTTTCTGACTCTTTTCACCAAAATTGTCATCAACTGTTATCACCGACGCATCCCCTACTGGTATAGGAACAGTATTAGACCACAATGGTCATCCTGTGCTATGTGTCTCTAGACGTCTTAGTCAAGCGGAACGCGGATACGCACAAACCATAAGAGAAGCTCTCGCAGTGCACTGGGCAGTCTCGCGCCTCCACAAATAATTGTTTGGGATACACTTCACTATTGTAGCGGATAACTAAGTGTTGAAGTTCATTTACCATTCTCAGTAATGTTTGGTTAAATCTTCTATTGCAATGGTACAGTGCTAGATCTTTGCGCTCACTGCATAATTGTGTGACACTTAACAGTTTAATGCTAAACACATTGGACATGCTGATTATTTGTCACGACACGGTACGTTTAATGAAATGGAGAGTTCAGAGTGCTTGTTGATTTAACAATTTCCAGTAGGCCGTTCCCATCAAATCCGGGATACACGGAAATAGTATGGTGCTGTTCTGTCATCAAGTTGAAAAGGATGGAACCCTGACCAAAAGAGACGCTTTCCACCTTTTTACAAGCTCCGTGATGAACTTGCTGTTATAGTCGATGGAATTCTGTGTGTCCAAGCTCGTATTGTTTTGCATTCTAGTTTTCAATCTACTGTGTCACAGGATTTGCACTATAGTCATCGAGATGTGAAAAAGTGAAGTCTTTGGCTCGACTGACATGTTGGTGGCCAGAATTAAATGCCGCTCCACTCCGCACCGCAAATGTTTGCATCAGCTACTCACATAAGATCCATGCTAGACCATCTAACCGAAAGCCGTGGCCCAGGACATGTGAGGTGTGGCAACGAGTTCATACCGACTAATGTGGTCCATTTCTGGACAAATACTATACCCTATACATAATTGTTTCTTTTTCGCGGTGGCCAGAAGCGTAATTTACTAACTGAATCATTTGTAAGCAGTAGGGGGAGTTATTAGGTTTTTGTGTCGGTTCGTCGCAGTTAGACACAGGCAGACAGCCCCCAAACATCCATGAAAACGCTAGGCGGCGGTGTCGTCCTATTGGGACTGGTCAGTAGCGCGCACCCGCCGAATGCTGCCGGATTTGAACCCACGACCTTGCTCTTTCGAGTCAGCGGCTTTTGTCACTAAGCCATGGGCGACGGCAGCGGAGCGCCATGACTGATATCTAACTGAGATATAGCGCGGTGCATCCTCCACTGTCTCGCATGTTGTGAATGTGCAGAGGACTAGGCTGGCCCCCAGAGCAACGGCTTTCTTTGGAAGCCGCTACCAACCGAGGTGGGATGTTAACTGCTAAGGCGACTACTGATTATTTGTAAGCAGTAAGGGGATTTATAAGGTTTTTGCCTCGGTTCGTCGCAGTTAGACACAGGCAGCCAGCCCAAACACATCCAGGAAAGCGCTAGACGGCCGTTTTGTCCTATTGGGACTCGTCTTGCAAAGGGAGTGGTTGTTCTGGAGGCCAGCCCTGTCCTCTGCACATTCATAACATACAAGACAGTGGAGGATGAGCCGCGCTATATCTCAGTCATGGCGGTCCTCTATCGTCGCCCATGGTCCCGTGACAAAAGCCGCTGATTCGCAAGAGTAAGTTCGAGGGTTCGAATCCGGCATGATTCGGAGGGTGCGCCCTACTGATGAGTACCAATAGGACGAAACGGCCGTCTAGCGCTTTCCTGGATGTATGGGGCTGTCTGCCTGTGTCTAACTGCGACAAACCAACACAAAAAATAATTGTGCATCATCAGCTTTTACCATCACGGCTCTTCATAAGACTCCTAGTTGCGAAGGGGTACCGTGTGTCGTGGTCACAGACAATGGTAGTCACTTCAGTGCCAAAAGTTTGAAGAGTGGCTTAAAGTAGTGGGTTGCCGCCACTTGTATACTACGCCACGGCATCCATGGTCTAATGGTGCTTCTGAAAAATTTGTGCGTACACTGAAAAGGGCAATCACTTTGTTTAATCTAACAACGTTTTCTGTGCTTGACAAAGGAATTGACAAGTTTCTTATGAGTACAGGAATGCAGCACATTACAGTACCGAAGGCAGCCATGCCAAACTGTACAAGAGGCGTGTCAGCAGGATAAATCTGTTGTGCTTAGCGTCTGGTGAGGTGGTTTACTGCCGTGAAAATGATCTCCGACCATATCACGGAATAGTCCTCAGACATCTCGGCTCCTGGATGTGTCGAATACTTGATCTATCTGATGGGTCTGTACACAGTTCGATCAGTTTTTATGTGACTCAACTAACAGACCAGAAATTTTGAGTGTACCTAACTATTATTTATCTGAGTCCGTTTCAGAAAAGGAGCATTCGGGCGAAGAAGTGTAGGAAATCCCGCCGGAGTAAGCACGAAGATCCGAAGAATGCCGAAACTAAAGCAGCCCATAACTTCAAGTAAACTGTGGTGGATGTGGTGAGTGTTCTTGAACGATGTATTATTGTACTTGTTTTAATGTATCTTAGTAGTTTGCGCAATTTCGAATTGGTAAATACTATTTCTACGGGCGCTCGCTGTGAGGTATTACTTCCTCGTAGACGCTAGCTCTGGGTCTGAGCTGGGCCAATTGGTATTATTGTTTACAATACCTTAGCAACCATCCCTGTTAAAACGCGGTAAGGATTAGGTCTCCTCGAAACCGTCGTTGTACACTGAATACCATTCCTAAGCTTAGATCAACAGTGACGAACGATAACTTACAATGACGAGTCCATACAGTGATGAGAGGTATTACGGAGTGAAGTGCTGGGAAAGGGCAACATCCAAACACTCAAAGAAGAAGTCTCTTCACATTTCCCGTAAGTGTAAAGATAGTCCACACATGATGCCTAGCAAGTGATTCCCAAATTTGCCAATATAGCTGCAGTAATGTTTGAACTGCATGCTCTAGTGGGGTTTTAATTAGCAAACCCACTTTTCTATCGGGAGCTGTGCCTATAATGCACCTGCATCGTAAACATGATTCATATGGGATTATCCACACTCAAATAATTATGTCTCAATGCGTCGAATCGACTGACAGTCAAACCAGCTCTAAGACAGCTGAATAATATTAACCTTACTGAAATTTTGTATCGTTGTAACTTGGTTGATGAAGTGAACGTGAAACATTTACGCTTTGAATAGTTAGTGACAAGGGATTTTATTCTTGTTTCTATCTTGTCGCCGCCCATTTGTTTTACTCGTGGTACCTTTTATTTGTTTTCACTTTCATTGTGAGTCGTGCTGTTCACCGCTCCGTGCATCGCTAATTGACTTCCACTGTTTTGTAGTTTGTTGCAGTACGCTTTAGGTCCGGCAAAGTCCACTAATGCATATGCGCTATCCGTGATTGTCACTACCACTTACAGCACGTCAAACGTGCACTATATATCTGGTACGGTGTTAGGCGGCCAACTCAAGGTGGTCGACAAAACACACATACTTAAGTTAGGGAAAAGGTTTATTGATCGGAAGAAAAACTGGATAGTGCTCAAAATAGGGTAACAGGAGACGTTTAGCGAGGGAAGATGTATCCGTGCGTCGAGTGGGTGGACGAGCGTCGTTCGCGGATCGAGCTTGTAGTGCACCGGAAAACAAGCTCTGTCAGTATTTTGTAACATTGGATTTTACGGTTGTTTTAACCTTCGAAACGTCCAGTTGTTTTACTGATTGCACGTCCGTTGACACAAACCGTTTTGGTGAGTACCTCGCCGCACGTTTCTCGCTCTGTCTGATTCGATTCCTATTCTTGTAGCCTGCACAATATACGTTGGGTTCAGTCGCGTCCAACTTGTATACTGTCGTATTTGACACGTATTACTTGTCATTGCTTACCGACTAGTATCCCAGGCTCCACCCAACAAGCTGCGCAGTTCAAAGGCGGATGTCGTAATCGGGAACAAAGTTCCTACAACCAAACCGCCTAATTCCATAATACATAAGGGAACGATAACTTTAGAATATTTTAGAATAATTCTCACAGTCACACATTGGAATCTTCAGGTCACTATGCACTAGCAAGTGTACTAGAATCGATAAATGTACAACCGATTTGGGTTCATCATCAGAAGTTAAAAGCACAAAAATTGCTTTCTGTGAGCAGGTTTATAAAGCACTACAAAAATTTCAATTTCGATGATTACCAAGCCGGTGTGCGGTTTCGCTCTGATCCAGATCTGGCGATTCGAAGCGCCATAATAAACATTGTTCTAGCAGTGAGAATAGCGAGAGTGCGAAGTTGCTGCCAGGCATGTGGCAAATTACTAGTCGTTTAGATAAGGAAGAAGTTTTAAATGCTATGAAACTAATAATGAACATTGAAATAATAAGGAGAGGGTTAGAATTGAACTGATGTCCAATAAAGAAAAGATGTACAAGCGGTTGATCCATCTCAACCCCCCTTCTTTAAGCACTCCGACATAACTTACCGTATCATGCGCCAACTCGCGCTGAAGTCCTTTCTTTTTATTGTCCAGTCTGCCTTGAAGCCTCGTAGCATGCTTCCGATGCTTCCTATGAAGTGCTCGCAAATTGTTCTTGTGGCAATCGTTGATCCGCTGGAAGAAGGACAAATAAGTGTACAAGTGCCGATACTTGTTCTTTCCTCTCATAAAAGGATAGGAGCTTTTGCTGACGCTCCTTACATAATTTTTTAAACTTCGCTATTTCATCACGTAAATTTCTCTCGATGTGCATGACAGTCAACTGAGTCGTACCAACATAACATATATAGGGCTCAAAAATATAAAGTAAAACAAATGCTTTTATCGACCAGTACATAGTTTCTAAATGCAGCATTTAAATAAATTAGTTAGGTTCTTACACAGGCTGTTTGCTGTTGTTAAAGCACACATGACAGCATTTTAAATGCGTAGCGGGAATTTGAAGAGCTGGGTCGCAGCGGCATCCATCAGGCAAATACCGAATGTTTCTCTCTCTTTGTTGCACAAGTACGCTGAACTTGATCTCATAAACGGTTTTTGTGATCCTTTAGTAATCATTAGCCATTTTGTTTAATTATTTGCTATCCCTTTTTTTGCCGCGTGACTTCGTTTTCAGTGACGAATATTTACCGGCTATTTGCATGTCTGTAAGCTTGACTGGCGTAGTCTTTAAGTTACTAGAAGAATTAGTACGAGATACAGTAAAGAACCATTTGAATAGCTTTAACCTGTTTAGCGTCGAACAGCATGGTTTTCGCAAAGGATTTTTGCACCAAACGAACTTGCTGGTAGCTCGCGAGTGCTGGTCTGAAGCCGTAGACTGTGGGCATGCGGTGGACGTGGTGTTCATTGACTTCGCCAAGTCCTTTAACACTGTCCCTTATTCGCGACTCTCACGGAAGTTGAGGTCTTATGGTCTTATGTCGCGCTCTCCAGTGGGTGTCAGCTTTTTTGGATGGACTGAGCTGGAAACACCACCTGGTGATGCGATTCCCTCAGTCTTATCTAAGGGTGTGTAGGCAGGAGGTGAAAAGCACCAGATGTCCCCATCGCTTGCTAATCAAACTGTGGTGCCTACTCCAAACACCACCCTGTCTTCCTGGGGTACAGGTCATTGAGGCGGGCATGGACGTTGAGCCACGGGCTTCTTCGCCTGTAGGACGAAAGAAAATCGGGACAGAACTGCCTGTCCTTTTCATACCGGTACGAAAAGGGTCAAGAATGACGAGTCAAACAAGCTGGAGCATAAGACGAACGCTGCAGTTACTTCGGCGTCGTCTGATAACGTGCGCCGTCTCATTGCCTGCGGCTAAGCCGGTTGCTGTTCATCTAAATTCCAAAACTCGTAGGGCAAATATACCCCGTCAAGGTGATTCTTTCATGGATAGCACCGTGGTTATCCGTAATGCAGTGGAATCCACTACCGCACTTCCTGCCGAACTTACGCTGGACGACCTACAATGTTTTAAGGTGTGCGTTACGATGCTTCTTCCGCCTGGGTTTCCTGTTGTTACTGTCAGGAAACTGACTAGATTGGGCAACGTTCCAGTTAACGCCTCAAACTCTCGACCGCGCTTACCTCCTGTGGTCCTATCCACCCCGGGGGAACGCAACGCGCTGTTGCGGTTTGCCTTCAAACTGACGGGTACTAATGTTAGCATTCAGCCAGACCTCCCATTAGCGGATAGGCTGAAGCTAGAAAAGGCAAGTAAGGACCTCACAACTAGGCGAGCGGCGGGTGAACTAGGTCTCCGGTTGGTGCGTTTTCGGGTGGTCAGCCGGTGGTCTGTTTCCGCCCTACCGTTTGATGACATTAGCTAAGGTTGATTCACGAAGTAGTACAAAACGCTGTTTGTTCGTGATTTCCGCTTATGCTCCCACCGACTGCACTTCAAATGCTGTCAAGGACACATTCTATCACGAACTGAATGCGCTATTACGCCGTGCTACTAGTTCAGATATTATAATACTTGCAGGGGATATGAACGCACAAGTAGGGGCGTATGAGCTCTTCAGAAGCTCATCTAGGTGGTAAATGTGAGCACCAGTTGTTTCTTAGTAGCATTGCTTTTAGACACAGTAGGCGGTGAAGTGCCACTTGGCGTCCTGTAGCTGAAAAGCGATGGACCCAAATTGATCACATTGCTATAAGTTACAGATGGCGTGGTTCCATCCTGAATTGTCGCTCGTACTGGAGTACCTGTGTCGACTCTGATCATGCCTTGGTGCGCTGTTGTTTCTCCATGAACTTTACCGGAAGGCGCACAAAGCGTCTCCCCGATTGGCAAAGCAGAAATTGTCTCAGTCCTCGGTCAGGCAAGCCTATCAAGAAGCACTGCATAGCGAACTCTCGCTGTCTTGTCCTAATGACACTGAACTTCAGTGGAATAGGATCTCTGCCACCATGCACGACGCAGGAGCATCTGCTTGTGGCACTATCCATCGTCACCGCATTAGTCACTGGATATCCGAGAGGTCGGTGAACCTGTTGGAATCTAGAAGATACCTCCCGGCTGGTTCTGAACACAATGTGACCAGACGGGCTATTAGGCGTGAACTAAAGCGGAGCCTACGTGCTGACAAGGAAGCCTGGTGGACCACTCGGGCTCAAGAAATGGAGGAGACGGGAGCCATAGGTAATTACCGCAAGCTCTTCCAGCTGATCCGCACCAGACGTCAATGAGACAATCAGAGACCGCGTGGGTGCGCTGATACACAATAAGGAGCGTCGTATGACTCGTTGGGCGGAACACTTTGAAGATCAGTTCAGCTGGCCTCCTGCTCCCGGACCTCTTCCTACTCAGGTGATGCAGGAAGAGCCATGGAGGGTTAGTTTAGAGCCTCCGTCGGAGGCCGAGATCCGAAATGCGATTACAGCCCTCAATCGTTTTCCTGCCGCTGGCTCGGATTCCCTCCCACCTGCACTATTTAAGGATGGAGGTGAGGTCCTCTGCAGAGCACTGACCTCTCTATTCGAACGTATTTGGAACGAAGAGAGTGTGCCGGCTAATTGAAGCGAATCCATTATAGTGGCAATATACAAAAAGGGCAGTCGCACAGACTGTGCGAACCACAGGGTATTAGCCTGTCACCAATTGTGACAAAATTATTGGCCTCGATTATCGTTGGTCGCCTCACTGCGGAACGGGAATCTCGGAATAGGAAAGAGCAGGCTGGTTTCCACCCAGGACGTGGCTGTATAGATCATATATTCACTTTGCTGCAGGTGCTAGAGCAGCGCCACGCGTACCGCAGATCGACAATAGCTGTGTTCCTCGATTTCAAGAGTGCGTTCGACTCAGTCGATCGATCGATTCTGTTCGAAATACTTGCGCGGAACGGTGTTCCCACGAAATGTGAACATCCTTCGTGCTCTATACTCGAACAATACAACCAGCGTCAAGGTTTACGGTGTCCTATCGGATAGGTTTCCGACCACAAGTGGCGTTCGTCAGGGTTGTCCGATTTCCCCGTTTTTGTTCAGTTTCGTCGTGGATTCTATCGTGGAGTTTGCACTTGCGGAATCTCACGATGTAGGCGTTGAAGTGCTGCCTGGTGAAAGGTTAGTTGATCTAGATTTTGCGGACGATATCGTCTTGCATGCGACGAGGTTTGGGCGGCCCAATCAACCCTGAATAGCCTGTCCATAGTGTCCCATTATTTAGTATGCACTTCTCACCTTCAAAGTGCAGTGTTGCTGCAGCACCACCAGCCACTTGATGACCCGTTGACGCTTGCTAACGAGCAACTCGAGGTGGTTGATCATTTCACTTATCTTGGCAGCTGCGTCAGCAATGATGGGCGCATAGAAACTGACGTCAGCTCACGCATTGCAAAGGCCAGAGCTGCCTTCTTGAACCTGCGGCATCTTTGGCGACAGAAGGGAGTTTCCCTCCGTCTGAAAGGCCGTGTATACAAGGCCACAGTGAGGGCCGTTCTGCTGTATGGTAGTGAGACTTGGCCACTTCGGTCTGAAGAGCTGAGACGCCTTCAAATCTTTGATCATCATTGTCTGCGAAGCACTATTGGAGTCGGATGGCATCAGCGTTTCCGCAACGATGATGTGCGTAGGCGCCTACTAGCTGGTGATAATCATGCTAGCTCCCTAAAACAACAGATAGCACTGAATAAGTTGCGTTGGCTCGGGCACGTGCTACGTATGCCTGGTCACCGTTTACCTAGGAGGTCCTTGTTTAGTCTGCCAGGTGTAGGGTGGCGCAAGGTTCGCGGTGGACATAAGTTGACTTGGTAACGGGAAATGAAGTCACTGACGACCAAACTGGGTACCGTTGGTCCGTCTCACCTTCCGGGCTGAACTCCACGTGACTCGCCTTGTGCTTGGCTCGAGACATTACAGGACATGGCTCGCAACCGACACCAGTGGCGCGTCTGCTGCCGTCTTCTAATCGGATTGCCTGTTTAAAGTGTGTTTGGTGCTGAGTTATCTGCGGGCTAATGGCTGATTATGACGCGTGGCAGTGAAAGGCGCAAGGAAGCTGTCTCGCCGATGCCGCCTTATCTTTGCACGATAGCCAGCTGTTTGTGACGGTATGTTGTTAACACAAGATGTAGGCGCCTTGACCCTGAATGTTTGCTTAGGGCATTAAGGTTTTCAGGTAAGTCCCCCTTCTCTTCCTCTTTTTATTCTTTATTTCATAGGTCTTCGTGGTTGTATGGCAGTGAAGCATCAGTTCAAATGGCTGATGTACTACTGTTGATGATGATGATGACTGGTAGCGCACGACACAGGGCTGGACAATACGAGTACCTTCAGATAGTGCAAAGCAATGTGCGGAGCCTAAGGAATAAGGTGTGCGAGATAGGTCTGCTTGTAGATGGGTCTCATCCCGATATACTTGCATTCACTGAAACGTGGCTGTCTCAAGACATCACGAACGGTGAAGTACATCTGTCTGGCTTCGCACTATTTAGATGTGATCGATTCGTTGACCGACAAGGTGGGGGCGTTGCGCTTTACGTTAGCTGTGGACTTGACGTTTTACGTACCTACATGTTTCAGTCGGTAGTGATTAGCAGTTCTTCAGCTCAACTTACATTTGTAATCGTGTAGAGAAACCCTGGGAGTGCGTCCAAAGAGGTGCTTCAATTTATTCGCTCCCAGTCCGCAAACAGGTGTTTGATACTGGGGGATTTCAATCTACCAGAAGTTTGCTGGGCTGATCTTACAACTCGGCGGAAGGTACTTTCGGTGCAGATATTCTTGAGTTTACGCTGCAAGTACTGTTGCATCAGTTCGTGGACCTCCCCACTAGGTACATAGATACCCAAGTACCGTCTACTTTGGATCTAGTTTTTGCCAAGTCACTAGGCTTCGTAGTTGGCATCACTTACAGCTCTCCCTTTGGTGCCATTGATCATGTTTGTTTACCATTCAGGTGTACTCTGACCAGGCGCCACCAAAGCATTACTAAGCCACATCCAAACATATGGCGTGCTATCAGGCAATCCATATCAAGACTTCTGGGTTCCGTTGCGAAATCTCCGTG